CGGATTCGGCGATGTGTCCGTTCGGCAAAAAGGATTCGGCAAAACGTCATTTCGGCAAAACAGCATTTCGGCGAAGTTTCCTTTCGGCGAAATGGTACTTCGGCGAAAACGTCTTTCGGTGAAAAGTCCATTCGGCGAAGTGGTCGTTCGGCGAAGAATCCTTTCGGTGAATTAGCTTCGGCGAAGTGGATTTCGACGAAACGAAACGTCCGATACCCATTTAGTTACCTGATACATTTCTTTGAGTTTCCGAGATATCAAAGTGAACCCATGCATGAATACTTCCAACCCTTTTTACACTCATCACGCTTAGAAGTAATCTCTTCAAAATCTCTAACACTTGCCAAATACTCTTTCTCACAAATACGATAATCTTCAAAAACACTTAGATTTGGATTGGCATTTTGTATTTTCTCTGGGAAAATTTTTTTTATAAAAAATAAATATATAAATATATAAAAAGAATAAATAGAATATAAAAAAGATAAATTAGAATACCTTTAAGATCATCGATCTCTCCTTGTATTGTATCTTTGTCCATTGAATCGAGCTCATCATCAGTGTAAATTTGAAATTCTTGCTTATCATCACCTCTATTTATAAATCAATTAGATAAATGGTAGAATAAATATTTAAAAATATCATCAGCACGCTTACCCAATCTCATGAAATGTAAGTTTGCTAAGAGAATCTAGCCAATGAATTTCTTAATGTTTATTTTCTACCAAATTGCGCTCATTATCTTCGACCTGGGTTTTGATTTTAACTAATACTATACATAGTGTGATTGGTTATAAAAAAGATTTGACGTAATGTTGAGGAATAATAAGAAATATAGTTTTTTCTCTAAATCTTCTTTTGTGCTTTCCAATAGCTAAATAATTAGGAAAAATGTAAATAAGTATTATATATATATATATCTCTTTTAAAAAAACAGATATAATTAAACAAAAGTCTGAATAAATACTGATATGGCTTCATCGGCTTAATTACGAATGGAACGAGAAATTTCGGTTTTCTGTTGAATTTCTTTCGTTAGCTTTTCTGTTTCATTATTTAATTCTTCTAATTCTCCTTCACTTTTTGCTAGAGAAATTTCGATTTTAATCCTATCCTTTTCCGCCCTTGATTTTGGCCACTTGAGACTCTCTTAATTTATTAAAACATGATCTATTTTTGACTTTTGAGATCGAAGTTTATCACTCCCAATTTCCAAAATCTTATCTTGCAAAATCTTAATCTCCTCTTCAATTAGGAATTGTCTTTTCAATCTATCTAATTCTGTGTTAGATCAAGTTGTATTCGAAGTTGTCCCATACGCCTATCTATACTTGGATTATTTTTTTGCCTTATAGAAAAAAGTAAAAAAAAATGATTACTATTAACCCTTAATAAGAATTTATTAGTAAAATACAGTTATATGCATACCGTAACTCGACAACTCTTTTTCAGTATAGATAATACGTTTTGCGCAAGCATTCCATCCATCTCTAACTTCGATAGCTCAAATTATAATTAAGAAAGTTCTTCCATTTTCTCTTGAAGTTGAGGTTCTAAAGATCTAAAGTTTTCATTTTAATTCTTTCCATGCATTATGAAGTGGCTACGGTCTTTACCAATTTCGCTATGTTATTTTAGAGGAAAATTTTGAACTCATGCTTCTTTAAACACTTTGTTACCTCCGCCGCTTATAGTGCCGGATTTGTCAATCAATTGACCACTTAACGTACGCGCCCTCGAGTATTAGTAAATGCGATCCTATTCGTTTGTTGTAGATTTTGGGCAACCAGAGTGTTTTGTAACACAATATAAAATGCTGGAATGAGCTGTTATCTTACGGCTTAATAAAAAGACGGGGAAGATTTCAGGTGTTTGTATCGGACGCATGTCCATGGTAGGCAGTTCATTCAAAAGAATGAACTTGGCGCAACCTAAATCATTTCTTTTAAGGTATTCTATACAACTTCAATAAATCAACTAAGATGTTGTTCAATGCAGGACAGGCAGTTGAAAATCGCAACATCGTATTTATAATCAATGACACCAAAGGTTACCCAAACGATCCTATAAAAAATTGAAATAATAAGATTTTCAGCAAAACAAATTTTAGAAAGTTCCGCTCCGACGAACTTTCATACAATCCTTTTATACGACTACTATCTTTGAGCTTTATCAAGCTACTAAGAACTTGTCCTCTAGACTGAGAAGAATTTAAAAGTTTTTCCTTCAACTTCTCTTGTCGAGAATCGGCAAAACTAAACTTGAAAATTTTCTTGCCTAAAGTAATGCTAAAATTAATAAAAGATATATGAGAAACTTAAAATACTTTAATATATTAATTTAAATGTTAAATAATAACCTTAAATCAGTGTCCAATTGTTGAATTTCTAGTTGATTTGAATCTTTTTAGATGAGATTTCTTGTTTCTAAAGAAGAAGTTCAATTATAATTAAATCATCACAAAAACAATTGATGCCTTATAATAAATCCTTTTTCTGACATGATTCTCTAAGCGCGACAGTATCTTCTCTGCTTGTTTAAGATCTTGTTTTATTGAATCAAATTTCTATTTTAAATGGTATAGTCAGATTGATTGACATCAATAACTATTGCCTTGCATTAATTTTCTCTAACCAAGGTGCAAGTTCTCTCTTCTTCTCTTCAATTTGGTTTGAATAAACTTCTGACTTGCCTTTATTTAAAATTAAAATCAGTTACAATATAAAAAAATATTTACACAACTAGATTAAAATAATCGATTCACATATCTTAAACTTCCCTGATTTTTTCAAATTCCCTTTCTTGGATCTCTAAAGATATTTCCAAGCCCACTATTTTTTCCATTTGATTATTTAAATCCTGTTTATTAAATCGTAATTCTGTTTTTGCTTCTGAAAGTCTATGATGATCCTATAATAAAGAGCTTACTGTATTTCTCAAATATATTTTTTATTAAAAATAATATAACCAAATAAAACCTACTGTAGAAATTGCCATTGTCACTTTCTTCTGTTTAGAAATTGCGTGTTTCTTTCTTTCTTCTAGGTTAATATTTTCTTTCTCATAATTTGCAGAATTTCATTAGTTTTTTTTTCACATTGCTTATTAAAATAATACAATTATTAAATTAAATGAAAGTTTATTTATTTGTAAATTATTATAATTATTTTACCTGAAAGACATTAACAGAATCTCTGTAATTATCTTCAAGATCTTTGTTATTTTGTTTATCTGAACATGCTTTTCTTCTTCTTCTCTTTTAATTTATTTTAATAAATTAATTGCCATATTAAATTAACTTACATAGCTTTAGTTGATATTTCAGTAACTCTGCAATTTTTTTGATAAAAGGTGAACTACTTCAAAGTTAACATATTTTTATCTCAAAGAAAATCTTTTGCTTTTTCTTTCAATTCAATAAGATTTAAATTTAGGGATGTTAAAATCCAGTCTGATCCTAATCCAGTTCTGAATCTTCCAGTCCTAAGAAGACCCAGTTCATAGGACTTGAGTTCTAGGACTGGATTCTAAGACCAGATCCTGAGACTATAGTCCTAGGATTGTAGTTCTATAGAAATTAGGACTTGTAATCCCAGGACTGCAGTTCTATAAAAATTAGGACTTGCGGTCTTAGGACTCAATCCTATAGAAATTAGAACTTACAGTCCTTGGACTGCGATAAAAAAAATAATCATTTAAAAAGAATAATGACAAATCATTTGATTTGAATAATAAAGAAATAATCGTTCAAAAAGAATGATGACGAATTGTTCGACTTGAATGATAAATAAAATTCTTCAAGAAGAATGATGATGAATCATTCGACTTGAATGATAAATAAAATCATTCAAAAAAAATAAAGATAAATCGTTTGACTTGAAAGATAAAAAATTGTTCAAGAAGAATGATGACAAATTATTTGACTTGAATGATAAAAAAAATTGTTCAAGAAGAATAATAACAAATAGTTCAACTTGAACGATAAAAAAAAATTATTCAAGAAAAATGATGATGAATCATTTGACTTAAATGATAAATAAAATCGTTCAAGAAGAACAATAAGAAATCATTTGACTTGAATGATTATTTTTCTATAGGACTGCAATTCTAAGAATACAAGTCCTAATTACTATAGTACTGTAGTCCTAGGACCACAAGTTCTAATTTCTATAGAACTGCGATTCTATAGTTTAAAGGATTTTAAACTGAACTGGACTTCATGAGACTGTTTAGGATCTAGTTCTATAGGACTTTTTAACATTCTTATTTAAATTATTATTATTATAATGATTACAAACACAATTTATTAATAATATGTTACTTTTAATCAGTATAGCAAATATGTTTATATCATCTTATTGATCATTATGCCGATCATATATAATTAAATTATCACATTATATAAAATCAGCTGATCTAAAGTTCAAAACTTCAGGCAAAACAGCATATGAATGGACAAACTTTATAAATCAAAAAATTTGATATTTTAGATTATATATAATATATTTCTAAGTAAATCAAGATCAAGCATATTACATAAGTTAGCTTAGGGCTGAAATAATTAATTAAATAATTTACATAATAAATTAATTATTTTAGGCTTCAAAGGTTTAGGTAAAGTCAACATATGCAAGGACAAATTATGCCGATTATTAAATTTCATATTTTAAGTTATGTAGAAAATAATATAAAAGTATAACAATAAAATTTTAAACAATACAAAAGTTAGCCTTGAGACAACTTTTTGAATATTTCATATATAATTCATATATTATTAAAATTTTTGATTATTTAGATTCAAAATTTTAAGCAAAGATGAATATGCAAGGGTGAACTATGCCAATCATTATTTAATCTATTTTAGGTTTTATAAAATATAATATAAAAGTATTACAATAAAATTTTAAATAATACAAAAGTTAACTTTGAGACAACTTTTTAAATATTTCAAAATATAAATCACATGTTATTATAATTATATTAATTTTGACAAAATATTGCTTCTAGTATAACTCATCCAATAATAATTATATTTCGATAAAGTTTAATATGTTATTAAATGCAGCTACTTGTAAAAACTTAACATATATTATTATGTAAGTTTTCTGATCAAAGCATTTTTATATGTGATAAAAATGAATAAATGATCAGCAAATTGATCAGTAAAATGTGATAAAATTAAACATGTCTGCTATACCCTCTAAACTTTGTTAACTATTTTAACGTAATTTACTTTATTTAATCATTTTTTATCTTAACTGTTTTATTTGCTTTTTCAAGAGGACATTATATTAGAAGTTTCGATAATATCTTCAATATATTCTTATGTCTATCTTCATGCTTATTTGGTACTTTGGGTTTCATTTGTGATAAAAATTCAACTCCCTAAACATTAATTTAAGTATAAATTTGATGTTGTCAATATATTAATCATTACCTTATGATAAAAAATAAAAAATAAATAAATAAATAAAAAGGAACCTGCAAAATTAGAAATCGTTTATTATCAAAATCGATCTCTCCTATCTTTAAAAAACTTGTAACTTCAGCATAAGATAACCAATTGAGATTGAAGTAGAATCTCATAATTATCTGAATCAGGCTATAATATCATGCGTTATTATTATTATTATTATTATTTTGGAAATTAAAACTTTATTATTTACCAAATCAAGAATTTCTTCAAAATATACATCAATTCTGCAAGCATCCAGATTTTCACTTTCCTATGATGATTGTATAAGTTCTGATAATTTGGCTTGCCTCATTTTATTTGCTCAATAATTAAATAAAATAAAAAGTGCATCAAAAACATTTGATTTTCCTGAACCATTTGATCTGACGATAGCAGAAAATGACTTTTGAAATTAAATTTTAATGATTAGAGAGAATCTCGTAATGTAGAAAAGCTCCAAGAAAACAAATATACCATATCTTATATCTTATTAAATGGACATATTTCCTGTTTACCAAAATATGACTTAAAATTATTTAAGATCATTTTAATGATAATAAAACGCTTTTAAGGTTCTAGAACAGAAACATTTCCAATAGAAAACTCTAGGTGAGAATAATGTCATTAAAGGAAGTATGTAATTATAGATTTAACCCATAATTTAATACAATTTACGTGACAATTAGATAGATAGATCGTCCAAACTGGTTACAGTGAACAGAAATCAGTTCTAAAATCTGTGTAATACTAGACCAGAAAAAAAAATATCAAAATGCAAAAAAAAAAAATCATGTACTAAAACATGAACTTAAATTAAATTTTTTTTTTTAGAATACAAAGTTGGTCTCTTATTCTCAAGAAGCCAATGTTATCATGGAACATTGTTGGGACTTAAATTAGGACAGTTGAGACATATATCACTGCAAGTAGCTATTGATAAAAGAAAGGTAATAGCAGGTATCTTTTTAGTAAATGTGACTTATGTTACAGTACCGAAGTCTTCCAGTCATTTTGCTATTAGAGTTGGAGTACATTCTACTAAGATCCGAACTTATTTAAAGATTTACACATTGTTAATGGAAAGAATGATAACACACATATGAAAATAATCCTATGAACCCGAAACATATATTTACGGTTTTTACAATAGTCTTTCACCTCTTTGAATTTGATACAGAAAATGGATTAACTGTAATCCATCAAAGATCACAAAGAATTAAGTGGTTTAGGAACTATTTCGATATACTGTATTTATAAAATTGACAGAATACCTGAAAAACGGTCTTCATTTAAAATCTAGAAATAACTTCTTTAGACGATCTAGCCTTTGATTCCACAGACATAATTTTTAATACTATCTAATTTATAAATAAATAAATAAATAATATTTTTTTTTCTGACTTTGAATTTGATTTGAAAAAAATAGTTTAAACAGTCATTATTATTTAATAATAAACAATAAATTCTTTAATTGTAACAAAATCATTAAATATGCAAATAAAGTTTTTATAATTCCTAAATCCTCGTATACGATAAACGATACGAAGAAAAAATACTCACATGAAAAAATTAATTTTACATTTATGCTATAAATAAAAATGTTTTAAAAAATTAGTATATATAAAAAATAAATAAAATCAAATTAAAAAAAAAAATTATTTTTTACTATTTATTGCCATTTGCCGTTATTCTATGCGAACTCAAGCAGTACTTTATGCCATAAAATGTTGAGATTCTTGACCTTGTACTTGCTCAATTGACATTTATGTCCTATTATACGAATTGCTATAAATTTATTTTTTGTTGATTTATTGTTCAACTTTAGTAATAGAAACAGTAAATAAATTTTTTTATTTGTATTAAAAGATGCATATAAAGTTGGCAGAACTTCAAGAAATGTTCTTACTTTTTCATTGATAAAAATTGTGCAACATGTGTATCGATCGTTAAACAAATTTCTAAGCCACATTTTAGTAACAGATTATCAAACAGAAAAATGTCACGTTATAAAATTTTTGGAGGAAAGGCGATTAGGATCGAAAGAAGCATATAAAGTATATGGATTTTCTTCCACAATGTTCTACAGTAATACATTAGCCCCATCTATTCTTATAATCGAATTTTGAAAAATCTGATATTCTGAATGGGACTAGGGAATTTAAAACCTAATGTCTCAGTCAGCAGTATGTATAAAATGATGAGGGTTTAGGTGGAATCCAAGCATAATTCATTGAAAATATTCTTAAACAACTATTCATCACAATTAGATAATTGCTGTGAGCGAAGGATTATTGAATTATGAGTAAATGATGTGAATTAGAGCTCCGAACGGGTCAGGTCGGGTCGGGTAATTGACTTGACCTGACCTGTTATATTTTTTTCAGGTTGGATAAAAAGCTATCTGATATATATATATACTTGACCTGATCTGATCCGTGGGTCAAATATTTTGGCGGATCGGGTCAGATATCTGATCCGACCTGTAGATAAAATCTTTATTTCAGGTCAGGTCGGGTACCCGACCCGACCCAACCCAAAGATCAAAAAAATAATTGCACGTTCAGCCGAAACTCCAGAACTCCGAAATTAATTTCGGTAGATTCGGAGATGAGATAACATTTTAACTATAACCCGAAATATGTTTCGGAGTTTGAGGCAAATTAATAATTAGTTTTAGCAGTCAATTTTGATTGGCTATTTTAA